GTGGTGGCCTCTTTGGGGGCCTCTTGGGGCGCCTCGGGGCTGTCGCGGCGTCCTCCGGAGCCGTCTGGCAGCTCTCGTGGGGCGCCCTTGGGGGGGCCCCGAGGGGCCGGCCGCGGCCTACATCTCGGGTTCTCTCGGACCTCGGGGGGCCGCCCGCAGAGCGCCCCGGGGCGGGGGGGCACCGTCGCACAAGGAAAGGGGCCGCCCCGCCGGGGTCTCCTATGCATCTATATATGTATAGATAATCTCCCTCCATTGCGTTTACTCTCTCTCTTTCTCTCTCTCTCTCTCTCTCTCTCTCTCTCTCTCCCTACGCTCTCAATTCTTTATGCTCTCTATTATGTGGTCTGGATGTCTGTATGCGCATATGCAGAATTGATCCCTCTGATGCACGCGCTCTATACTGTTTGGAATGTACTATTCGCTCGACCCTGTCATCTGTTATAGCATCCACTTACTGTGCCAAGCCCTCCTGACCCCGAACCCAAGAACCCGGTAACTCGACCGCTGGCCGAGATCGGCCGGAACCCGAAACCTGGGAACCCGGGAACCCGGAACGGGAAGCCAGTGAAACTGGAATCCCACGGGAATCGGCTGAACACCTTGACCTACTTTTTCAGATCCGCTAGGACCTCGGCAGTGCAGGCATTGATTGGGGGTCATCATGCGTGCCAGTTCTGGTATCGTCTCCCCTTCATCCCTTGTCGAATAACACTATGCGGTGCGCTTGCATTGATCTGAGACTTAAGTTCTCGAGGCGGCCCTTGCACAAGCAAGACATTCGGGGCAATACCATTCAAAAGCCATTGTGTTTCTAACTAGTTCAAGACATAACTGTTCACATACTATCACAGAACATGTGTTTCCTCAGCAGAATGCGGCCCGAACTCTGACATCACAACAAAGCTGCAATTGCTAGCCGTTCGGTCAAATGACACCAGGCGGGCCAAACGCTCGCGCGCATGTGGAAGGCGTTCAGCAATCATCGCACCCGTCAACTGTCGAATACAACTATGCGGATCGCACGAACGCGCCTTCTCGAGCGCACGTCGAAACCCTCCCAACATCGTTGGGATCAAAGCGTTTCGGCGCAGAGGTGTTCAGACACATACGAAAAGCCAATGGGTGTTCCATGCAACTGTGCCCAGAATTCAAAAACTGCAAGCGCACACTTTCTCGTCACCGGCATCAGTACAATTGCCATCATTTTCGCCAACGTCGTCATTGCCATCGCCATCTTCTTCTTCATCATCACTATCATCGCGACCATTATGATAATCATGTTCATCATCATCGTCATCAACATCATCACACCTTCGTCATCGTCGTCGTCGTCATCTCCGCCGCCGTTATCATGGTCAGTTTCGATGCCCTTGCCCTCGTCAAATTTTGCGCACGCGCACTTATTCCTCATCATCACCAATAAAATCGTCATTGTCATCGCCAGTGTCGTCGTTCACGCCGTCAATATCATCAACGACAGCTTCATCACCATCACCTTCTTTGTCGTCCGCACCGCCCCACCATTGTCATCATCATCATTGTCAGCATCAGCATGAGCATCATCATCAGCATAGCATCATCATCATCGTCATCACCATCACCATCATCATCATCATCATCATCATCATCATCATCATCACCATCATCATCAGCAGCAGCAGCAGCACCATTATCATCATCATCGCTGTCGCCGCCCAGCTTGAGTCTTGCCAATAAGTTAAACCCACGGACTGCTCCAATGTTTGGCCCCCCTTGGCCCACACCCTGTATACGCAACCTTGCCGCAGGAACTGAGTGGAGTGCCCTCAGACACCTTCGAATTCCCAGCATTGATCAACGGGCCCAGGGACACACAAGTAAAGGATTCCCGCTGTTTCCAAAATTAGCTGGGTGTTCGTCTTCTCTCCCCCACTTCCTATATTTTCAAAAATGTTCCTGGGAGTCGACGATTAATTGTGGCTGTGTGTGTTCTCCCTCCTGAATTGAAGATGGTAAAAAAAGGATTCAGACCCCGGAGTTTCGGGCGCTCTTCGGCAGAAAAAACTCACGCTTTCCTATGTTTTTGTGGCCACGGAGGAGGCCTGGGGCGTGGCACGGTGCTGGGATGGGCAGAAGCCTCTCGATGCTGCGTCCCATGCGTCGATTACAGGCCACACGGTGCACTCCACGCGCCCTGCAGACTGCACAGAGTCGCTGTTTGGGGGACAAGCTCCGGGATCATGTCTGGAGTACCCTCTGGCAGTACTTGAAATGGTGGGTTGGTCCTCGCGCTTCGAGAATTTCGCCTGCGCGTAGCTTTTTCCAAAGTCGCCGCTTGGCCTCAGATGGCTTCTGGAGGCTCTCCCCACTCTGGACCTGCGAGCTCACTTTCTGCTCACTTCCTATAACTTTCGGTGGCTCTTCCCCAGTGTCGGCGCAGCCGGGTCGCTGCTAGGCTTCCTGTGGCTTCCGATGACTTCCCCACGCAGATAGACTGGCGCACTGTCTAATCGCCGCTCGAGGGATGGGGTTTCCTAAAATTCCTACGTATGGCTTCCCCCTCCCTATTGGACCCCTGTGCCGCACAATATAGTCGCCGCTATCTTGGGCTTCCCTCAGGCTGGCCCGTGGATGTCCATTGTCTAACGTTTCCCAAAGCATCCTATGCTTCCTCCCCCACTGACCCTGTGTGCCTCACCTTCCGGATGCCGCAGCTCAGAGACCCTCCTGATAATAGAAAACAATGGAAGTTAAACCACGCGCGCCGTTATCGCCTAGAGAGATCTTTCCAGTATAGCACAAGCAGCGTCTGCACTGCGAGCTCGAGACCCACAACACTTGGGGTGTGACTGAAGGTGATTCCTCCCAACCTCCTCCTCCGAATGTCCCTGCTCCATCCTGGGTGCCAGAAAAGGGCGTCGCTCCTCCTGCAGCGTTCCTTCTTTCAGCGGCCCGACTGTATTCGGCGGCGCGCACAGGGGGGGGGGGGGGGCGCGAGCGGGGGGGGGCCTTCCGAGAAGCCAAGCCACGGGGCTTCTTGGAGGGCAGGGGCCATCTCAGAAGGTCCTTCGAGGCTTCTGAGACGGCCTCTCAGAATCCCCCAAGGCCTTATGGGAAGCGGGGGACCCCCCCTGCCTTCAAAGAAGTCCCCACGGCTTCTTGGAAGCCCCCACCCCCACCTCGACGCACTGGTTTTGCGACAGGCGGTGCCAGCACAAAACACCACCCCGGCAACAGAACACGGCCAATACAGGGCACCCGGCCGCACCATGAGATGGAGCAGGCTGGCCTCGCACGCGCTCGCGCTTCCTTTGCAAGGGTCGCTGGAGCACAGAGGGCTGTCGGCGCTGCCCTGCGATGGCGTGATGCATCGAGGATCCGATGTGCGGTGGCAAGCGAGGGGGGGGAACTGAGAAGGAGCAGGCCTTCTCAGAAGGCGGCGGGTCTTCTCAGAAGCCCCCCCGCGCCGTCTGAGTTCGGTCTCTGGAGAAGGCTCTGGGGGACTTCCGCGCCTTCTGAGAACCCGCCCCTTCTCAGTTCCCCCCCCGGCTCGCCGAGATGTGGAGGGGCGCGGTGATCGTTTTCTTATTCATTGTCTTGCCGATCGGCGCGGGCCCTCGCACCCCCTCCCCCCTCCCCCATGGAGCAGGTCTTGGCTGTTTTGGGCGCCTGTTTCAAGCATGTGGAGCCTCCCCCATAAGACGAATCGCTGCAAACAGTCGCATGAAGCAGATGTCCGGAGCCAGACCCCCCCCCTCCCAACCTTTCCGCCGAATGTCGAAACGCCCGATAAGATAACGCTCTTTCCTCAAGCGGGCACGCGCGGGATTCACTTTTGTTTCGCGTGGGGGGAAATTCCCAAACAAGCGTTTTATCAGAGGAATCCTCCACTACAGGAATCCGCTGGCCCATATATCGACCTCGTTGTGCGCCAGAGAGGAGTCTGCAAGTCCAGCTCGAACATGGCACCGGGGGACGCTAGAACACTACTAACAAAACAATCCTCAGCCCAAGCCTTTCTGGGAACCAAAGACACGGGTAGAGACGGAGATAAACGCAGGAACACGAGAATGGAGAGAGCGACCGAGATGGAGACGGATCGCAGACGGATGTGAAGACAGACAGACAGACAGAAAGACACAAGCAAACGGGAAGGCAGACACGGGTGCTGACACAGACAAGCAGTCACAAGGAAGGGAACAAACGGAGACGCGGATGCGCGTGCCGAATCACCGACAGAAGCACGCACTGACACGTGCACGTAGACACGTCCAGGTAGACCTGGCAACATGCAGACGCTGCCGGGGGGACAGAACACCAGATTTAAGTCGGGCGTGTCCCCCTACAGGGGAATTTTCGACGAAAAATTAACACGATTCAAAAATATTCAAAAATGACACCAACAAAAATAATATAAAACAATAGTCCCCAAACTATTTTTGACTATTTCCGAATATTCCTCCTGTAGAGGGACGGGCCCGACTTAACACCAGATGCACCGACGGACCTGACAAGCTGACAGGCAGAGAGGCAGACAGGCGACCTGGCAGGCAGGCGAGGAGGCAGGCAGGCGACCGAGAAGTAGCTGGAGCAGGGCAGGCAGCAGCGAGGGAGGGAGACGAGGGAGATGGAGAGAGGGAGAGGGAGAGAGAGAGAGAGGGAGAGAGGGAGAGAGAGAGAGAGAGAGAGAGAGAGAAAAAAAAAAGAGAGAGAGGGAATCTAGAGAAAGAGAGAGGGCGAGCGCATGGTATAAAGAACGAGGGCGGGAGGAATCTCTATATATATATATAGAGAGAGAGAGAGAGAGAAAGATAGAGAGAGAGAGCGAGGGAGAGGACAAACAAGAGAGAGAGAGGTGCGTATATCAGACAGGGCACAAAATAATGGATCGGCTTCAGCCCGAGGTCTCGGGTCCAGAGAGGGACTCCAGGAGGGTAGCTCAATGCCATGGGTGACGATGAATCCGAAGGGGGACCGCCTCCACCGGCGGGAGGAGGTTGTATGGCGTTCGGAGGATGTCAATGTAGAGGACGCAGTAGTTGGCGCACACGAACATCCAGGTCACAGTCCTGGCGGCAGCGCAAGCGAAGAACCACCGCTTAATAACCAGGGGGCGAACCAAACCGCCCAAGACGTTTGCACCATCCAAGGGAACGATCCTACTCCGGGTGGCATATAAGCTGAGAGGCCCAAGAAACCCTTTCCACTGATCTTGCGCATGGGGCTATTGTTATTAGTGTGATGCCTCCGCATCGTACCTTCTTCCCTCATTCCGTCCCACCTTCCTTCGCCCTCGTATTTCCTATATCAAACGCGTGGGGCACTTGCTCTGCAGATCTTAAGTACGGGGTTCGTGGTTCTCATATCCTCAGTGTGGGGCATAATGTTTGCGGCGAGCACAAAGGGTTAGGGGGAGGGGGAATGCTCCTTAAATGGAGGTTGTTTTTTGGGAAGGCGCCAGCCTTATATCTACAGACAAGGTATGTGCCTTCTGAGAAGCAGGGGTGCTTTTAAGGAGCCTTCTCCGCTCCCCCTACACCCCTCTCCACGTGGCTGAGATCTTTCCCTACACCATGAGTGTGGAACTCTTGGCGCCCCCCGCATCACTAGTACGAGGGTCTTGCTGTCAGTGCCACGGCGCCGCCTCCTCGACTCGAGCCCGCCCTCCTCGCGCCGCCCTCGTAGTCAGACTGCACCTCGCTCCGAGCTCAGAATCCGTCGTGCTCAGACTCGCTCATGCTTGGCGGCTCGCAGAAGGGGGGTAGGGGGAGGGAGGACGGCTTCTTAGAAGGAGGCTGTTTCTTAGAAGGCGCGAACCTTGTCTATTAGATGAACAGCCCGCGCCTTCTACGAAGAAGCCTCCTTCGAAGAAGCCTTCCCCCGTTCCCCTTCCCCCCTCTGCGCGTGGCCGACATACCCAGGCTCCGTCACACACGGACTCTCCCATGCCAAGACTCACTCGTATGCACCCACTCAAACTCGGACTCCTTCAGGCTGACACTCGCTGATACTGAAAATCATTCAGACGTATACCCACTCGCACTCAACACCACTTCACACTCATGATCACTCATAATCATATGCACTCATACCGTTCGATTGCGTCTGTCCGATAACGTCTACCCAAACTGACCTAACCATCGCCAGATTGGTTCTCATCTACACAGCAACATCGCTTTTGAGTTTCATGATTATCCTCCTCGTCCTCGCCGTCGTCGTCGTCGTCCTCCTCCACCTCCGCCCCATTTCCTCCTTCTTCTCCTCACCACCCTCCTCCTCCTCCTCCTCCTCCTCCTCCTCCTCCTCAGCCTCCTCCTCCTCCTCAGCCTCCTTCTCATCCGTCTCCTCCAGCTCCTCCTCCTCCTCCTCCTCCTCCTCATCCTCGTCCTCTTCCTCCTCTTCCTCTTCCAAATTCTCCCGTATTACCTCTTACCTGGCTGCGGGGGGAAATTCCATGGACGGCCTCCGAAAGAAGAGCCCCGCCAGCGACCCGGCAGGAGCCGACCTCAGGAAGCTGCCCCCTCATTCGGGCTATGCCTGGAGGTCGGGTGGCAACTTACCAGCCGAAAGGCGGGTGATAACACCCTTCTCCTCATCGTCCCCTCGGGCACACGCCAACATGGATTAGGGATCCGCGGATCTGACGCGCGATGGCGCCAAATCCGCGGATCGGGGAAGGTACCCCCGAAACCTTAGGCCAATGCCGCGCGACTTGGGCGACGGAGAGCGCCGATTACGCGTGGAAGCGGGACCCGCCGCTAATCCGCGCGCCTTATTCCATGTTTGCATTTCCTCGATCCTCCTTCAACTCCCCATCCTTTTCCTTCTCGCCCCCTCCCTGGGGGTTCCAGGCCGGCCACATCTGGCGCAGCTCCCCGAAGCAGTGGCACTGCGAGTACAGCGACGCGGCGGTGAGCCTTGCGCTGGGGCGGATGAAGGGGAGACGAGCTGAGGGAATGAGGAGAGGCGCAGGGGAGAGAGAAGAGACGGGAGGAAATTTGTTTGTTTCGTTCGCCGAAAATTTTGTACACTTCTCAACTTGTGCGCAAAATCATTGCGCAGGGGCCATGCTAGTCTTCCCTGCATCGTTCCAACTTCAACGAATGATCCCCGAAGGGAATCCCAAAGAGAGGGGGGGAGATGCGATGGGATGGGATAATGATACGCGGCTTGGAGGGCTCACAGAATTAAAGAAAAAGCATATTCAAGCAGAATTGGCGGCCACTGGGGCCAAAGATTGCAGGGAGGCTGCACAACAGCATCCGAATGTGTTTGCGCAGTTGATCTTGCATGTGTAACTCTGCGTCCAACCGAAGCTGGGATAAAACCAGAATGGCACTGGGAAGGGCCTAGCTAGGCACCGCCAGGCCGAAAACTAGGCCCTTGGGGGGGAGGAGAGAGAAGAGAGGGGGGGAGAGATGTGATGCGGATCAAAGAAAACTGTGCAACACATTCCCCCCTCCCCCCGGCCTTAATATTTGTAAACATTGCGTTCGAGATGTTGGGTACCACATGCTTCCGGCTCCGCTTCTCCAGGAACGTTTTTAGATAGTAAAGCTAGGGGGGAGGGGGTCATGCGAAGTGGTTCCTCAACGCTTGTTGCAAAGTGTGTACCTTCAACGGTGGGATGGGGCGAGGGAGGGGAGTGCAGCTGGGAGGCAGATGGAAGGAGAAGGGAGTGAGAAAGTAACTCTCGAAGCTGTTCGTCGTCCCCATGGCGCCCAACAGCCCAAAGTGCGGACGTAATGCATCCCCCCCATATGGCGCCATCGGGAGTTATTGGGCGCCATTTCGGCGACGTCCGCCGCTATTTGAACACTACTCGGCACTACTGGGCACTAGTGAGCGCCATTGGGCTCTATTTGGCCCTATTGAACGCAATTAAGGGCAATTCGCCAATCTATATCTATGTATATTTATATATATACAGTTATATGTATATGTATATGTATGTATGCTATTTAATCCAAGACGAGCGGAAGCATCCGTGACTTACTATCGAAGGGGAGTGATGGTACAGAGAGGTAGTGTTATGTCAAGCATGTCCCTCTACAGGCGGACTGAGGACCAAAACTAAAAAGTAGCCAACAAATACACAAAACAAACTCAATCACCAGACAGCTCGCCCCTTGGCCCCCCGCCAGCCCCGCGCAAAGGGGCGAGCATATATACGGGCGCAGCACCGCGCTGGATGCGTAGCCGTCGGCTGGGCCAACCAAGCGAATGACGCATCGCGTGGCTGCTGGATGCCCGCGCCGAGCACAGATATTCTCGGCTCCTCCCTCCTCCTTCTCCTCCTCCTCCGCGGGCTTAAAACTGCCATCGAAATATCCTCACCCGCTGGCTTAAAACTACCACCGAAATATCCTCACCCGCGGGCTTAAAACTGCCACCGAAATATCCTCACCCGCTGGATCAAAGCAGCCACAGGAATATCCTCACCCGCGGGCTTAAAACTGCCACCAAAATATCCTCACCCCTGGAAGTGAGACTGCCACCGAAATATCCTCACCCGCTGGCTTAAAACTGCCACCGAAATATCCTCAACCGCCGGCTTAAAGCTGCCACTGATATATCCTCACCCACCGGCTTAAAACCGAGACCGAAATTTCCTCACTTGCTGGCTTGAAACTGCCACCGAAATATCCTCACCCGCGGAAATAAAACTGCCACCGAAATATCCTCACCCGCTTTCTTAAAGCCGCCACCGAAATATCCTCACCCGCTGGGTTAAACTGCCAGCGAAATGTCCTCACCCGCTGGCTTGAAACTGCCACCGATATATCCTCACCCGCTGAAATAAAACTGCCACAGAAATATCCTCACCTGCTGGCTTAAAACTGCCACCGCTCGATAACACTCGATAACACATCGATAACAAACACCTCATGCTATCGAGGTGTCATCGAGTGTTATCGAGGTGCTCTCGAGCGTTATCGAGCTCGATCACACTCGATAGCACCTCGATAACATCTCGAATACATCTCAAAAACATGTTATCGACGTGTTATCGGGTGTTATCGAGGTGTTATCGAGCGGGTGATGGTCACCCGGTGGCTTAAAACTGCCACCGCAATATCCTCACCCGCTGGCTTAAAACTGTCACCGAAATATCCTCATCCACTGGCTTAAAACTGCCACCGAAATATCCTCACCCGCTGGCAGAAGACTGCCACCGAAATTTCCCTCACCCGCTGGCTTAAAACTGCCGCCGAAATATCCTCACCCACTGGCTTAGAACTGCCACCGAAATATCCTCACCCGCGGGAATAAAACTGCGACCGAAATATGCTCATCTGCCGGCTTAAAACTGCCGCCAAAATACCCTCACCCGCGGAAATAAATCTGCCACCGAAATTTCCTCACCCCGCTGGCTTAAAACTGCCACCGAAATATCCCCACCGGCTGGCTTAAACTGCTACCAGGATATCCTCACCCGCGGAAATAAATTGCCACCGAAATATCCTCACCCGCTGAAACACCGAAATATCCTCAACTGCTGGCTCAAAACTGCCACCGAAATATCCTCACCCGCTGGCTTAAAACTGCCACCGAAATATCCTCACCCGCTGGCTTAAAACTGCCACCGACATATCCTCATACGTGGGCTTAGAACTGCCACCGAAATACCCTCACGCGCTGGCTTAAAACTGCTACCGACATATCCTCACCCGCGGAAATAAAACTGCCATCTAACGGCCTGGTGGTTCAGTTCAGTCTGTCTACCTCGCGAAAATCAAATTACGGGCTGCGCCCGTAAAACATACTTTGAAAAAATCGTCCACTGATTACTTCTAGTACTTTCGGGTTTTCCTCCTGTAGAGGGACACGCACGACTCAAAGGTAGGGGCCCCCCGCCGGGCCCGAAACGGCCGGAATATAAATCCGTGCACTTCTGGGGGCCCGGGACCCCCTATGCAATTAATGCGCATGCACATGCAATCCAAGACGAGTGGAAGCATCCGTGACTTACTATCTGAGGCGAGGAGGAGGTCCCTGCTCGACCCTCTGAGACACTCGACCCTGCCGCCCCCGGCGCCCCGGCAACCGGCGGTGCAGCTCTGGCCAATCCAGAATCTCCAGACGTGTCGGCCGCAGCTGCCACTTCTCTTCCGCGCCATTTTTGTCTTCATGCTGTTCTCTCTCTCTCTCTCTCTCTCTCCCTCTCCCTCTCCCTCTCCCTCTCCCTCTCCCTCCCTCTCTCTCTCTCTCGCTCTCTCTCTCTCTCTCTCTCTCTCTCTCCCCTTCCTCTCCCCCTCCCGCTCTCTCTCTCTCTCTCCATTTCTCTCTCTTTCTCTCTACTCTGTGGATTGGAGACAGTGCCAACGGTCCTGGCGTGTGGCATTTGCCTGGGCCAATCGCACGGCGGTCTTCTGAGGTAACTCGGCCTGAATGCCGGCCTGGCTGTCTAGCACGCGCACACCCGTCAGCACAGACTGGGCAGCAGGTCCAGTGGAAGCGTGCTGAGGCCATGGCACCACCAAAACAGAGACAACAATGATTATATAAGTTGGTCCGCGACCGTCTTCAAATTTTGGTCTGCGAACGTTTTCTCAATCGGCTGGATCGTTGCCGCCGTTCGCCGCCCGTCGCCACAGCCGTCGCCGCTGGCAGCTGAGCCCCAGTTGCGGTCCGGCCCGCTCGTCGCCGTCCCTCGCCGCCCGTCGCCGCCGTCGCCGCTGGACTGCTCTGCACTGCGATCACGCTGCGCTGCACTACTTTGCACTGGTTTACATTGCTTGGCATTGCGTTGCATTGCTTTGCACCGCGCTGCATCACACTGCATTGGCTTGCAGTGTCATGCAAGGATTAGCACTGCGTTGGAGTGCATTTGTTTGCACTCCTATGCTTGGCACTGCTCTGCATTGCTTCGCATTGCGTTGCATTGCGTTGCATCGCTTGGCATAGCTTTGAATGGAGATGCATTACATTGCTTTGCATTGCTGAGCTTTTCATCGCAGTGTCTTGCGTTGCATCACTTTGCATTGCTTGGCATTGCCTGGCATCGGTTTGTATTGCGTTGAATTGCGTTCCATTGCTTTGCATTACTTTGCATCGCTTTGCATTGGTTTGCACTGATTGCATTGCTGTGCATTGCCTTGCATTGCTTCCAATTGACCGCATTGCTTGACATTGCTTGGCATTGACTTGCACTACGTTGCATTGTTTTGCACTGCACTGCGTTGCTATGTATTGCATTGTGTTGTATTGCTTTGCATTGCTTTGCACTGGCCTTGCACCGCTTTGCATTGTGTTGCATTGCATTGCATTGCTCTCCATCGCTTGGCATTGATTTGTGTTGCTTTGCTCTGCATGGCTTAGCTTCGCATCGCATTACACTGTTTTGTATCGCGTTGCACTATTTGGCATTGTTTGGCATCGCTTTGCACTGCGTTACAGTGCTTATTATTGCTTTGCAGTTTTTTGCGCAGCTTTCCACCCCATAGATTGAACCACATGGACTGCAACACCCATATTGCACCACATTGGTTGCGCTATCTAGATTGCACCGCGTACATTGCAAGAAATCACTATTCGGGGTCCGCACTGGCAAGTTCATATATATATATACTTATATCACCCATGTCTCTCTCTCTCTCTCTCTTTCACTCTCTCCCTGTCTCTCTCTCTATCTCTTCAAGATGCTTCTCGCATTCTCGCCAGCCCTCTGAAGCTTGGCGATCCGGTTAGAAACCAAATCTACAACAACCCCCTCTGGGACGGCAGATCCAATACCATCTGGGACATCCGCTCTCACCGGCTCCGCTCGGCCTGGACTGGCGCCTCCCGCGCTCTGGTCCCTCGCTCTCTCGCTTCGCCCTCTCGGCCTGCTGCTCTCCCAGCAGCCCGTGCTCCTTCCGGTCCACGGGCTCCTCAATCTGGCTCCATAGCCGGCTCACCGGCCGAAGTCTGCAACAACTCCTGACCAGCTGGCGCTCCAGCGCCGCTGGGGAAACCACAGAAGGTACCCATACCGCTACCCCACGGACCGAGCCCGGGGTGCGCTCTGACCAGGATTTCGAGGCGAATCCAGCGGTGGCAACGAGGGCCGCCCTGGAAGCACTCAAAAGGAGGAGAACGGGCGAAGGGTTTCGGCATGGGTACCCGTGCCTCCTCTGAGCCGCCGTTGCCAGTCCCTCGCTTCCGACCGCGAGCCTCCCCATCCTCAGGCGCGCTCAGGGCGCCTCCTTGCCCTGGCCTCGCGTGGGGCTGGACCACCGCCCCGCCCCCCCCCCGAGGGCCCGTGCACGACAGTGGCCTCGTCACTACCGCAGAGCACCTCCCTGCTCTCCCAAGGTCCAAAACATGTGGCGGCTTCCGGAAACCCTGAACACAAAAACGCTTTCATCTCTTGGGAGGCGTGTTTTGTTTTCGCCGCCTTCCGCCGAGCTTCTGCCGGCTTCCGCACACGGAGGCGGCCTCGTTTTACTTCCGCCGGCCTTCCGCCGCCCTTCCGCCGGCAGATGACAACTCCTTCGATCCTCGACGGCAAGGCCATTTTTGGAGCGCCCTATGTATTGCTACACGTAGTGTGAGGGATTCCTCAGGGCAGGCCCCCGGCTGAATGGTGCCAAAAACAACTGTGCCGATTCCTTGCTTCTTCCTTTCGGGTTCCCTCACTCATGCATTTATTCCAGCCAAGTCTGTCCGCTATTCGATGATGGCCCTCGCAGGCGGAATGTGATGCTTTTCGACTGGACACTCGGACGCTCAAATCTCTTCGAACCGAACTCGCCCGTGCCGCCAGCTACGGGCCTTGAGCCCAAGTGTGTGCAGCAGATACGCGCGTACCCACTGACAAGGCAGGGGGGATGGCATCGGCAATAATGGCCGCAGTAAAGCTGACAGTTGCGCCCTTCATCCCAAGACGCCCAAATCATTGATGTGCCTTGGCTTATGATGGAATATGGGCCATAACCCATCACAACTCAAGACTCACAACCCTGGAACGGCGAGAACGCCAGAACTTATTGCATTCTCGTCTTTTCAGGCTTACGACCGCCAAGATGGCCCAGGAGGCCACCAAGATCGCCCCAAGTGGCCCCTGAGAAAGCCCAAGAGGGCCCTCAGGCGGCCGAAGAGGCCCCCCAAGACAGACAGATAAACCCCCAAGACGGCCCCAAGAAGATGCCAACAGGGAGACCTGGAACTGGCCCTCGGAGACCTCCGGGGCCAACAGGGTACCCACGCCCGCCAAGAGACCCCCAAGAGGTTCCGACTGGTGTGTTGTCCCCGCACAGTGGATGAAGATACTGGTCACAGAACATGAACAAAAACGGCATAAACATAAACTTTTTGCGCTCCGCGCAAATTTCTTGGATCCACGCTGGACGCTGGACCCCTCTCTCTGGCGCGCTGAGCGCGCCAAGTGCATCCCCGGAGGCGCCGCTGGGGGCCCAGCGCGGATCCAAGAAATCCGAGCGGAACGCCAAACATTTATTCATGGCGTTTTTTTTTCTTCTTGGAAAGATACTGGTCAGTTGGGACACAATCTCTTACCTGATACGTAGTTTTCCCAGGCAGTGCTCAGGGCAGGGACGTGGGTTAAGCACGAGCTCCTCTCTGCTGAGACGCGCCACGCCGTCCATCGAGGACGGAGCCCCGGGACAGAACGATACACACGCACGAGGGTACAATTAGGTCGGGCATGTCCTCATACAGGCGGATTCTGGAGGAAAAACCAAAGATAGTCACAAATATAACAATACAGCCAGAAATAATGGAAAGATCGTCCCCATGCTATTGTTTGGCTACTTGTGGGGCATGCCCGACTTGATGGTAGCGAGAGATCTCGGTCATCGTACAAATCGTTCCGCCAAATCTTACGAATCGCTTGATGCCGTACCAAAGGATGCTGCCAGAGTCCTACGCCTCGCTGCCTCCTCCTCCCCCTCCACTTCCCTTCTCCTCCTGCTTTCCCGCCCTCCTCCACCTCCTCCTCCTCCTGCTCGTCCTCCTCCTCCTCCTCCTCCTCCTTATCCGGCTCCTCCTCATGCTCCTGCTCCTGCTCCTCCTCCTCCTCCTGCTCCTCCTCCTCCTCCTCCTCCTCCTCCTCCTCCTCCTCCTCCTCCTCCTCCTCCTCCTCCCGCTCTCCTCCACCTCCTCCGCCCTTCTTTGACGTGCTGTCGGGCCTCCCCCCCCTGCCCCGCAGCGCCCGGGCGCGCGGCCCGAGGCCCGCCCGCGCGCCGCGACCAGCGCAGCAGGCCCCGGCGCAGCCCGGGCCCAGCGCGGGCGACACGCATGTCCCCCTGCAGGCGGATTTGGGGGAAAAATGAGAAGTACTCCATAATGCTCCATATCTCCAAATACTCGACAATACTCCGAAAATAGTCCCCTGACTATTTTTCCCTATGTTTGAGTACTCCTCCTGTAGAGGGACATGCCCGACTTGACACGAAGGGCATACGTCAGGTTCGTGTCGTGTCGACTTCGGCGTTGGTTTCTGACACCGCGGGGATCGTTCAAGCTTGAACGATCGGCCGTTTCCGAAACGTCCAGATCGTTCCACGTCGAACGATCCTGGGTCGCCCGCGGCGTTCAAAGTTGAACGCCGCTGGCGGGGTCGCCGCCAGTCGACACGGCACGAACCTACCGTACAGGCGGGGTTGATTGGAGAGGGCAGGCGAGAGGACACGAGACCCTTCCGAGGGCCACATTGCCGACGGAATGTTCGAAGGCATGGGTCGCGAAGCTCAGGTTGCACGGGCACCCTGGATTTGGCAGGGCCGACCTACGAATCGGTCTCGACTCTACGGGGCCGATGGCTCCAGGAAGGTGGGAGACAAACCTCCTACAGTCGAGCCTAACACCCCTCGAAAACATGATACCCTCCGCCGGCCAAACCGCACAGGACATCCAAGTGTACCCCCCCTCAGGATGCACAAACCCATCCAACGAACACGAAGAACGCTAGGGTAACCCTCCCCGGACCGACATCGATCTCAGACCTCGGTCCGACTCCACCCTCCTCATCTTCCCCAGCCTCTTTCTCCATTTTCCACTCCTACATCCCGCCACCATCGCGCCCGGACCGCCCGCACCAGACCCCCCGCGCGATCGGCACCAGTGGTCGATGAAGACCATCATGCCGACGCGGGCGTAGACGTCGTGGCACCACCATTCCTGTGGCAGGAGCCCGCCCCGGGTCACGAGTGGCGCACCTATCCGTACCCGCGCCCTCGCGGTCAGGATCCCACTAAGCAAAACATATCCCAAAAACCAAAACGAAAAAACCCAAAACAAAGAAGACAAACCACCCAAAAAAGCAATAAATATCAACACACAAACACCAACCCAAAAAACCATAATCCCACCACCCCAAAATGAAAATCCTAAAAAAAAACCCACTACAACCCACAATAAAAAACCCACAAACCCTAAACCAAAAAAACAAAGAAAAAAAATCAAAAACCCACAACCCAACAATGTAAAAGCAAAACCCAGGAGCCCGATCCCGCCGGCGGCGTGGGTCGCTTCGGATGGCCCTCCGAAGCCGGGGTCCACAAAACAAACCCCCAAGGGCCGGGCCCGCCGAGCCGGCGGATACGGGAGTATGTCCTTCGGCCCACGGCCAGGGGAGCGCGCGGGAACGAGACAGCGGCCCCCAACGCCCGAAACGGCGTCCAGCTCAAGTGGAGCCGCAACAGAAAGCCCGCCCCAATTGGCAGGAGGGAACGGGGGTCCTGAAGGCAAACGGTCCCCCTGGAGAGAACTCTGGGTCTATCCCTGGGAAAGCTGCCGTCCCGAGCTTCTCTTCTGGAGCCCTGGGGCCGCGTGCTCATCTTCATCCAGCTGCTTCCTCCTGCTCCTCCTCCCATCACGCATCCTTCTCCTCCTCCTCGTCCTCCTCCACTCCTCCTCCTCTCCTCCTCCTCCACCTCCTCCTCCTCCTCCCCCACCTCCTCCTCCTCCTCCTCCTCCTCCTCCTCCTCCTCCTCCTCCTCCTCCTCCTCCTCCTCCTCCTCCTCCTTCTTTTCCAGTCATCTTCCACCCAGGGTCCCGGGCGCGCGGGCCTGGGTGTTCCGATGGGCCCAACTTGAGAGTGGTAATGGCCCTGGGAGCAACGTCGAGTCCGCCCTGGCAACCCACGACCGAGCGCGGGTCCAGCTGCCAGGGAGCCATCAAGAAGGTGGGTTGCCCCCTCCCCGTTGCTCCGCTCGTCCCCCTCCCCCTCCTCCACCTCCACCCGCCAGGCAGAAAAGCGCGGGCGAGCCACGATCAGCCGTGCTGGGAGCCGTCCGTACCAGGCGAGAACGTGCGGGCCAACGTCATCAGCTACAGAGTTGAGACCAGTTCGTGCGGGAGACGCCACACAAAAAGCGGGCAGCGGCAGGAAGCCTCAATGCGAGAAGCGGGAGGCGAAGCTGGAGTCC